CAAGCTGTTGCCCTGGGTAGAGTGCCATAGCATCACAGCTCATAGCAACCTCCAACTCCTGGGCTTAAGTGATTCTCTTGCCTCAGCCTCCCAAGTAGCCGGGACCACAGGCGCCCGCCACAACGCCTGGCTATTTTTTGGTTGCAGCTGTCGTTGTTTGGCAGACCCAGGCTGGATCCGAACCCGCCTGGATCCGAACCCACCAGCTCAGGCAATACCCACACTTTGCCCCAGATTAGATATGTGGCTGGCGCCTTAGCTGCTTGAGCCACAGGTGCTGAGCCGGTCTGTTTACTTTTTAAAAACTGTATTATGGAAGATAAAAGATGTACAAAGTAGAATGGTATAATGGGCTGCTTTATATTCACCACCCAATTTCTGTAATTATGAATATTCTACCATTCTTCTTACGTATCTGCTTTCTACACCTTTTTTCCTCCCTTTTCTGCATATACTTTAAAGTAAATCTTACATCCAGGGTGTCTATAAAGTTCATGTACAATTTTATTATGTTAAACTATTTTAAATTGCACACGAACTTTATGCCCACCCTGTACATATTAATCTAACTGTATATTCAGTGTTTTTTCTGATAAAAAAGAAGCCAGATTTATAGTCTGGAAGCTACTTTTCTGCTCCCCTTTCCAGTCCCTCAGTCTGTGTTGTGGCTTCACCATCTGCTTAGTTACTTAGGCCTAAAAAAATCATTCATCTTTTTTTTCACTGTTCATAACAGATTATTCATTAATCCCTACTAGTTTTATTTTTAAAAATATCTCTGTTATGTCTTTCATGCTGTCTATTTCTACTGTAGTCCAACCCTTATAGACGAATAACTTGCAGGTAATAAACACTGGTAAGTAGTTAGAGCAGGTAGCTGGAGAAGTTTTCTACTGGTCTACTACTCTCTCGTTTCCTCTCATTACTACTTATGTAAATAGAATTCAGACTGTTTTCTATTAATAAATTAGTACTTTAAACACCTATTTACTTGACACCATAATGAAGTTGTCCTTTATCGCTATACCCAAACTTTGCCCCAGATTAGAATCACAGAAATCCCTACACTTAGGCCAAAATCCATACCAATTTAATTAGAATACTACAGATGAGACCTGGAGTTGGTATTATTTTCAAAAAGATTTTCCAGTGGCTTGGCACTGAGGCTGGCGGATTTGAACCTGGCCTGGAACAGCTAAACAACGACAGCTGCAACCAAAAAATAGCCTGGTGTTATGGCAGGTGCCTGTAGTCTTGGCTACTTGGGAGGCTGAGACAGGAGAATCACTTAAGCCCAAGAGTTTGAGGTTGCTGTGAGCTGTGATGTCACAACACTCTACTGAGGGCCACATAGAGTCTGTCTCAAAAAAAAAAAAAGAAAAGATTTTCCAGTGATTCCAACGTGTAGCAAAGTATCAGAACCTTTGCTTTGGGGGGCTAAAAAGAGAACACAAAGACTGGGGACAAGATGCCTGGGAATTTGTCCAAGCTTTGTGACCGTCAGCATTTTGCATAACCTCTGCAAGATCTCTCTTTGTCTGTAAAAGTTTCCTCTGTGGCAAAAATTTTCTGTAAGTCTAAACTTGTTAGACTGATGTTCAAGGCTATGCAGAAACTACTTCAGCTCATCTCTACCATTTTCTACTTTACCAGACTACTAAGGCCACTGCATGGCCAGGCCTGCCAATCACATCTCCTTCCTTTCATCTTCTTTGTGTCTCTTTCACCAAGTCTAAAACGTGCTCTTCCCTGCCATTTGAAGAGGCCTACTTTAAAGTCATTGGTCCAACAGGACCAGCCCCATGAATGCCTTGGCTAAGAGTAATTTCTCCTACCTCTGAACTCCAGAAATACCATTTAGGGCCCACATGCTGGGAGGCGTAGCATACCATCTGTTATTTGTTTTCCTAAGTATGGTTTGGGAACAGGCAGCCAGACCTAAGCTCCTCTTTTCACAGATGACAATATAGAGGAAGGTGGCAAAGCTGGGACCAGGACCTAATTTTCCTTCATAGCCTTCTATTTTCTCGATTCCTTTTTTTTTACACAGAGTCTAAAGAGTGGTGTGGCATCATAGCTCACAGCAACCTCAAACTCCTGGGCTTAAGTGAGCCTCTTGCCTCAGCCTCCTGAGTGGCTGGAATTACAGGCATGTGCCACCACACCTGGCTTATTTATTTATTTATTTATTTAGTAGAGATGGGGTCTCATTCTTGCTTAGGCTGGTGTTCAACTCCTGAGTTCAAGCAATCTGCCTGCCATGACCTCTCAGAGTGCTACAATTATAGGCATGAGCTACCATGCCCAGCCTTATTTTCTTGATTCTATGTTGTCTTTTATCACCTGCTCTTTTTCCACATGCATTCACACACATACAGACATGAATATATATATGGATGAATATATATGCAGGTGTCCTCAAACTACAGGCCGCAGGCCACATGCGGCCCACCTAGGACATTTATCTGGCCCACGGGGTGTTTTTGCCGCCACTGCCTGTCCTGCTTAGCAGCCGACTTGTCCCAGGGCCCGCAGTCTGGCTCTCCAGTCGTCTGAGGGACAGTGAACTGGCCCCCTGTTTAAAAAGTTTGAGGACCCCTGATATATGGTATGCACATGAATGGTGCTACTTAAGATTACAGTGGTTGGTGGTTCAGTGGTTGGTGGATCCTATGAAGTAGGATCCTAATAATGTTCACAACGTAAAGCTCTCAGCCTGGGACCTGGCTTGGACCTGGTACTCAGCTGTTAGCTGTTGCTATAATTACTATAGTAAGATTCCTAAGGGGAAGTATTGGAGCATTTTATTTCATTCAGAAAAAAGTTACGAAGTTCCTTCAATGTACAAGTGATATGCAGGAGTTGGAAGTTTTTTTGTAAACGGGCTGTTTATTTACTTAAGCAAAAATTGGGACGTTAGGACCAATAGCAGTTTTCAGTATTTTGTAATGGACAGTCCTGGGAAATATATTGGTCTGCTACAACAGAGTCCCTGCTTTTTAGGGGCCGACCATTTAGTAGGAGAAACGAAATGTGTGAATGCTTAAGTGTTTTCCATAAAACAAAGAAAGTAAAAATTCTGTGAGAGAAGGCAAAAATAAGGAGCTATTGTGAGTTCATTGTGAATCCTTCAAGTCCCTTAGCACTATTGAATGACAATAAATGTTTTGAGAGATGTTGGGTAGATAAGTGTCCTTTGTTCACAAAGCATTCTATTCTGAGATAAACAGTATTTGCTATTCCTGCACTGCAGAGCTCTTCCCCGTACCTACTTGGCTAGCCTCTTCACCTTGCCTCAGTGTCCCCCCCAACCTAAACAGAACCCGTTCACTGCTCTGTCCTTTTATTTTTATTTTATTTATTTATTTATTTATTTTTATTGAATGGTAACTATGTACATTAATGCACTTCTGGGGTACAGTGTGGGGTTTTGTCCTTTTATTTTTCTTCCTAGCATGTAGCAACACTTAACATACTGTGTATTTTTTGAAAATTTAAGAATATTACAGGGGTACACGTGTTTTGGTTATACAATTTGCTTTTATACATTTTTTTTTAGACAGAGTTTCACTTTGTCTATTGCCCTTGATAGAGTGCTGTGGCATCATAGGTCACAGCACCCTCAAACTCCTGAGGCCAAGCGATTCTCTTGCCTCAGCCTCCCCAGAAGCTGGAACTATAGGCCCCCGCCACAATGCCTGGCTGTTTTTAGATGTAGGGTCTCACTCTTGCTCAGGCTAGTCTCAAACCCCTGAGCTCAGGCAATCCACCCACCTCAGCCTTCCAGAGTGCTAGCATTACAGGTGTGAGCTACCATGCCCAGCTGCGTTTGTACATTTTAAGTCAAAGTTATAAATGTGCCTTTCACCCAGAATATGTGTTTTGTACCAGTTAGGTGGGAATTTACACAACTCTCCTCCCCTCCCACTGTCTCATTTCCATTGAGTTTCACTTCCATGTGTACTCATAATAGTTGATTGGTTTGTTCCAATCAACAACATGTATTGAATACATGTGTTTGTTTTTCCATTCTTGGGCTACTCAGAAGAATGGTCTCCAGTTCCATCTGGATTATCGCAAAAAATACTAGATTGCCTTTTTTTTTTTATGCTGAGTAGCACTCCATGGTATACAGATACTGGATTTTATTTTATTTTATTTTATTTTTTTTTTTTT